TGAACAATCTTACTTAGTGTTGCAAAGGGAAGAGGGATTTGAGTGTTTCTACGTTGTTTCATACTCTCCTATAAATTTGAGTCCAGAAGATTTAAGTCACGCAAACCACATGATGAAATGTATTTCCGGTTTTTTTCCTTTAGCAGTGTAATGGTAATTAACTCTGTAGGTGCAAGAGACTTAAGTAAGTCGACTGGAAATCCCAGTGTGAATTTGAGAATCTTATCACAGCATTTTTTGTGACATTTGGGTTTAAACAAAACAGTTTGAGCTTAAGCCAAAGATGAAACCTGGGCAAGAAGTGCCGAATCTCAAGGAAAAATAAAAACCTGAAATTTTGTGAAAATGGAAATACTTGCAATAATATCTTATCACAACTAGCATTTGTTTACTTCTTTTTGCAATGAAAATATATTAACTGGAATTTAGTATGTAGAATGTGAGAGGTGCTGAAAATAAAGTCCCTATACTGTTGATATGTAAGCAAAAAGCCCTACAGAAATACTATGTAAATACAGCTCTACATTTACGGTATAGATGGAGAAGCAAACATGTTTTTATAGGAAGGGAAGGTTTGGAAAATAAACATGACATCCACATTCGCATTCATTTTAAGATGCTATTAATGATAACAGAAAACTTGGTTTTATATCCAAATATAACAGTAACAGTACATGACCATTAGATAGGAGGTGTGAGCCTGTGAAGTGCTGAACACCAGAATTCTTCCTGGCTATTTGCTCCGCACTGATCATGTCCAAACCAATAATGAGCCAGAACCATTTTCTGTGCTTGAACCATGAAGTATGTGGGCCTGGAGAGGCTGCTGGGTATGACCGAGTGCTTCAGTAGCTGGGCTGCTGGGCCTGATCCTCATACACTTACAGAACAAATACACCTCATGTCTAAATGCCAGTTGTGGGTGATGCAAGACTGCAAGAGCCACACAGGTACGTGGACCCTGAAACATGAAGATATAAGCCTTTTTCTACTACTGAGCTAAGGGATCCAGACTCCACGGGTTGCTGCTCAAGACATCAACAGTATATGGTTTTCAGTGAACATCTTGAGAAACTACTGTGAGTGAGTGAGGGTTCCATGTACCTGTGGGGCAATCGTGAGAGCTCTACCCAGGGCTCGGGTGGTGGAATTTCTGCATTTCCTGGGTGGGTGGAGCAATATGAAATACATCTTCTAATGAAGCCAGGGATGTTTCTGTTGTAGACATCACAGATCAAGCAGTGCTATTGTTACCTTTTGAAGCCATGCGTCACCATTGCTGTTTGTTTCCTATAGTGATTCATCAGCTTCCAGCCCAACCTTCTATTAAGGGTGAGCAAAGACGTTTGTCACGATGTACCTTTTTTAATAAACCTTTTTAACTCACTGTTAGCTCTGGTCTGTTCACTCGCACATAAGATGCTGTGCAGAGAACTTTTCCAATGGAACAAATGTAGAGATTTCCACGAACAGTCATTGCCTTGTCTGGTTCTTCAGTTTTCTCTTGTATTACTTCATGGTGTATATTTGGTTTATGTCAGAATTTTATAATCAATCAGCCTTGTTTTCTGCCTCCTTTATGCTGCAGCAGTGGTGATTTCCATGTGTTAAATGCTGTCACCCAAAAATGGTAGTGTCTGTGCAGATTGTGAGAAGAAGGGGAGAAACAGAAGAAAAGCTGTTTAGTAAGTGGAAACAAGCAGACAAAGAAAAGTGGCAAGGAAACAAAACAGGAACCAAGTTAAGTATAGCTACCTTTTTATCTGACTGAAAAACTTCGCAAACTCCAAAGATGCTCTCTTTCAATTCTGCGAGTGTGGCAGAACCTCCACTGATGAACAGTAGGATGTGTTAGGAACAGCAGGACTGGATGCAGGCTCTTCCTGCCTGTGCCTTGATTGGCCATTAACCAACTTGTATTTTCTTTGTTTGCTTTTTTTCCAAGAGATCGAAATGTTTGTTGTCAGAACTGTTCCCATTTGTTTTGTTTCCTTATCCTGCCTCTGGATATTTGCAGAAGTAACATGGTTATTTTATTCCCAGTCTCGTTTTTGAAAAAGACATGCTCTTTCAACTGGATATCAACAACTCCCTTTTGTGGGGGATCCTTAACTCCATTACAGTATTTACTAGTCTGTAGTCTGTGTGCGTATTTTCATTTTGTCACCGGAGTTGGCTCTTTTACTGGGAACTGATGGGATCCAATCAATAACAACTTCTGTTTGAACAGCTAAATGCAATATGTACCTTTTTAATAATGAGTTCTTTTGACAGTGTCCAGGCCATTACTTGGCTATTGACTGATGCCGATGTCTGCAGATGGTAAAACCACAACAAACTCATTTATTCTGTGGCCAGAGAAATAAGAAATAAATAGAGAGTGGAACCTGCTCAGCCTGTACTGTGATGGAATAAAGCTCCATTTACAGTATTAGGGGTTACTGTAACGCAAAGTGCCGTTCCAGTTATGGTGAACCTCAGCAGAGAGCAACCATTCCATACTGAGACAAAACTGTAATTCCTGTCCAGATTGTGCCCCGATGTGCAGAAAGTTTTTTTTGGCGCTTACCATGCCCCCAGGGTTACCAGGATTGTGTATGTTATGGTAGCTACATGCCCAGATGGGTAGCTGAGCTGGTCATTGCTGGTCAATGAGAAGTACAATTTCTGCGTCTGAGTGTATGCAGTGGGAGTGCAAACGTGTGCACACTTTGGAAGGTTTGGCTGTTTTAAATAAAATGTGATACTATTTTTATTGCAGTTGGGGTAAACTGGTTCACTGAATCTGACAGCTCTGTAGGGTACAAAGGATGGCTGATTTGAGTAGCAATGAATTTGTATGTTTCTGGGCAATGGTGGCATTAGACAAGAAAGCTGAAGTCAGACACACCTTCCCCTCTAATAAACCTCATTAGTCTCTCTGGGATCAGGCTGCTGCCAAGAGAATGAGGTTCCTGGAGAATTTGAGCAGCACAAATACATTCATGTCACTGGAAAAAAAACACAGCAAAACCTTCCTCACACAAATTTTGCAAACAGTGCTGCTGTAGCAGCCAGATGAGCGTGTTCATATCTGCTCATTCAGGATCACGCTGTCTTCCTTAGTCTGCAAGAAATTCTCTCTTCCTCCAACGTCGTGGAGTAGAGTGAGTTCACTAATGCGGACAGCGTGAGCGCAACATTGTATGTACAAGAGTGTTTTGGCTCAAGACCTCACCTCTCTCCTTAGGCCCCTTCTGGACTTTGTGAGGGAAGGTGAACAGAAGATGTGCTTAGAAATGACATTAACTCTGCTTGTAGTTGCAGAACCAAGACATTGATGTGATCACCAGCTTCACAAAGCACCATGCTGAAGCCTTTGTATTGCCTTCAGGGGCTGTTTCTAAACGAAGCCTGAATAGGGGCCTGATTGCACCTCTTCCCTTGATTACAGAACAAGATTTCCTGGGGATGCTGCCTGCTGAATGACAGAGGGGCCCGTTGCTCTGTAATTATCACACTTTTAACTGCAGTGGGAACGGATTTTTCTATAGCCCCTCAGCTTTGTTTAAAGCGACAAGTTACTGCAGGATTTATCCTCCACCTGCCCCTTCGGAGCAGCTCAGTTTTGGCTGCGTCTAAAAGGACTGCCTAGACTCACTTGCAATCACCGTATCTCCCTGCCAGCCACCCCAAACTTTGTAACACTAAGGGCTAATTTGGCACTTTGCCATGAGCCTGATGGGTACACTTAATTTGCATATGCATTTACATACATTTTGTAATCAGAAACAAATGAACATGACCATAATATTTGCTTCCACTTGCATATTCCTTGATAGATGAATATAAATTGGTTGTTGTTGAATTCACCAGCAATAAACAGCTGCAGACCCTTGCTTGGTCCTGTGCTCTGCTGTTCTAGAGGACAGCAGGCTGTTCTGGGACACACTTTGGCAGGCCCAGATCTTCACTTACCGGTACAAAACTCTAGAATTTATGGTCTCCGAGGGCTGTGGAGTAAATATTGCAAGAGGCAAATCTGCTGTTTTATGCTACTTCTAATGCCCCAGCTCTGGCCATTGAGCGAAAGCTGGTAAGAGCTCTGCTCGTGACTTAGTTT